CTGAAAAAGATGGTCCAAGATCATGAATCAATCCACTAAGGATATCATCTTCTCAAATTTTATAAATGGATCAGCCCAAGAAAGGTATCCCTTCCAAATCAGGTCGAAACGGACCCACATCAATATGATATTTGTATAAACAACTGCAGCATCACTTACATAATCACACACCAAGCCTGTGGCATTTATGCTACCCGAATTTTAATGTCAAGTCTCTGAATTCTTTCCAAATTTAAATTTCACAAGTTTTCAAATCCTTTCATGGATCCAGTTTATATCAATTTCATACTTTCTCAAAAATGAAGTTTTAAGAACCTTTCAAATTTCACAAATCAAATAAAAGAAAATAATCCAGGGATGGCAACATTCTAAACTTTAAAAAAAAAATCATGTCAATATCAAAACCATTTAATTCCAACCTTAATTATGAGCTTCTCTCATTAGATACATGCAACACCAATTTAAAGAATATATAAGTGCTCATGGCCAGGGCAAATCAAGAGGGCAAAATGAGCCTCGAATAAACCTTCAACAAGCTCACGGGTGGGATCAAAAAGAACACAGCCAAGCCCAAACATAAGCTCACGGTTAGGGGCAGCAAAACAAATCCACCAAACCAGCTTCACAGCAAAGGGGAAACAAGGAACAACCGAATAGAACAAAAGAAAATCAGCTGGGATGCTCACGGGTAAGGGCAGCAGCCCTGTCTGCGATAAAAAGTTGGGGGAGTTTCCCGTAAGAAGGTGTCGGTCACCGGAATCGAAATCCCGTCGCCCACTTCGGAAGAACGCTTTAATTTATATATAAATTTAAGTTCAAAAAAATATGAAATCAAACTAATCTCATAATCTTCACAGTTTAAATGAAAGAGCGTTCTACCTCAAATCTTGTATATATCCCGAGAGATAAACACAAGACTTGAGGATGAGACTCGATCAAATAAACTAAGAAATATATGACGTTTGTTTGGTCTACGAAACCATTTTATTTGCCGACAAATTCCCCTATTTAATATGAAAAATTAAATAGGGTTTATTTTAAGTTGTGTTCAGAAGTTTCCTATAGAAACAAACCCCTATAATTAATTACATCTTAAATGATCGAAATCACTTAAAAAGACTCTCGATTAAGATCAATGGTTTTGCCTTCAAGATTGCAAAGTTTAGGTTTCCAAGGATGAAATATGAGGAAATCAAAGAGGGAAAGACTCAAAATATGAACAATTATTTTCAGGAGTCAATGGAGTGAGAGGTATGGGATGTCACAGATACAGAGAGAACCCTGGTGACTTCCCAACTAGGCTGTCAATTTGGCTCGTTGTTCTTGAACAGCTCGTGTTCGGCTCATTAAGTAGCTCGTGTTCGGCTCGTTCGTTATGGAACGTACCATTCAAAAAAAACAATCACAGGAATTACCTGGAAGATGTGAGGATTTAGGTCGTGACGATCGACAATCTCAGAATCCTAAAACGAGTTAGGGCTTAAATCGTACAGCAGAGCTCTACAAATGCCTAAAAAAAGGTTGAGGATTTATGTTGTGCTAGGCGAACCTCGAAATCTTATGGATTGTTGTTTTAATTTCTAGGAAAGGAATGATTTAG